AATTACTCGACGCGTCATCGGATCGTAACTTTGTTGCGACAGGAGCATCTTCGACAGCGGCCGCATCACTGGAATCAGACCGTTTGCGCTTCAGTTGGGGCAATCCGATACTGTTGAGGCCCGGGGAAGCACAGTGTGGCGAAATCGCAAGCATCTTGAGCTCCTCCGCCATCACCTTATTTCCTCCGAGAGCAGAGGACCAAGGAAGCAGCCGAAACATGCCATGCGAAATATGGTCGGACGCCAGGATATTGATTTGTCAGGTTGAGTGGTGGAAACTTTGCGACTCGTCCAAAGTAGAAGCCACGATAGTGATAGGAGGGGAAAAAAGGAAGGAAGGAAGGGGAGGAACCGCAGGAATATTAGACTAAACAAGAATAGACAGAATAGAAGAAGAGGAAAATAGGTGTAAATTTAGTAGTCTGCTGCGCGTTGAGGCCATGCACCGGTGCAGGCGAACGCAATCTAGATAGATAAGAGGGAACAGGGTAAAAGTGGATGATGGAGATGGGTGGACGGATGTTGCGGATCAAAGGGATAATAGGAATGGTTCTTGAATTCTGAATGTCGATTGGTGTTTGCGACCGTCAGAGCTCAGAAGGAGCAGAGCAGACAAGCAAGGGGGGGAATCGGAAAGTGAGACGGGAAACCAGAGGAAAGCTCGGGGGGATAGGGACAAAGAAGGATAATAATTTAGGTAATTATCAGAGATAAGAAAACAAGTGTCAATCAGAGGACCTCTCAGGTTCTCAGCGACTCATGCAGGACGAGAAGCTGAGAAAACAGGCAGAAGGGGTAAGCTGAACTCAACCACGGCTTGAGATGAGGGAATACGGGGAATGATGACGCTTAAGGATGGACGATGGGGTTGTGGGTGGCGTAATCTATGATTAATAATAACAACAACAAGGATATAACATCAACAAGAGCATGAAACAAACAGCAACAAATAACTGGGAAATTCAGGAGTAACTGCAGTATATTGCAATTAGGACAGGGACCAGGAACAGACTCGAGCAACGGTCGGTTGGGTGACTTGGGTTGCAGTGTGACGAGAGTGACAAGAGTTACGGCGGTTGACGATAATAATATTGGATAAGGATAGTCCACCCAGGTACGGAATAGTTCCACTGACAGATGAGGAGAGAGTTTCAGACAAGGGGGCGGTCTCCAGATGATCTCGTAATAGTCGAGGATGGAATCGTGCTTGGAGAGTGACAGAAGGAGAAGGGAGATGGCTGTGTAGTAGTCTAAGAGATCTGTTGGGCTTTTGGGAGAAGAGGGGGGAGGACCAGGAATGCGAATGGGGAAATTGAGAAAGGGAATGGAGATCAGCTTGATTGATTGATTGATTGATTGATTCACACGGAACCTGGATGCACAATACACAGCAGAGTACGGAGTAATAGCGTGGACTGGAGTTTAATGATTAGTTAGACAGTTACAGTTATCTAGTCGTCCTCTTTAGCAGTCAATCATAAAAATAAAAATGAACCTACCTCAGAAGACAGACTTCGAACTGAGACATTATTATTGCTAACCTACCCAAAGAAAGTACGAAACACTCTGTGATTATTATTACTATTATTATTATTATTATTATCAGTATTGTCACCCAGTTACCCAGTCATCTCATCTTACCTTTGAGTGACAACATCCTATGCCTAGATGCCTAGGTAGCTAAGGTACCTACCTATTTACTGTAACAGACTAGATAACAGGCGATTGACTTGCTCCAAAGTTCCCCCAGGCTACAGCAGTCAGAAATAGTGACCTGTCAAATCAGATTACTTTTCACTTCGATCTAGAGAAACAGGATGCATTCCCAGTGGATCCTCTGATGTGATCCGGGGCCTGGACTGGCCCATATTATTCGGCGCTGCTGCGTGGTCCACCTTGGCTTCGGCTCATAAACTGGTTAAAAAAGTCCGAATTCACGACTCTCACTGGATATCAAAGCAGTCGCATTTTGGAACAACGGACACGGCCTTTCCTTGCGTATCTTCACTGTATTAGAATCATGAGATAGACTGTGTACTCCATACTCACTTATCTAAGTACTACGTAACTATCTACCTAGTAGGTAAGGTGGAGAGAGTGGTAAGGTTAGTACTACTGGTAGAGAGGTACCTCTCTGTCTAAGGCACATTAATTACAGCCTTAACAAGCATGGATCAATCATAGGTACCTTAGATGCTGCATCGCCACCGCGGTCACACCGAATCAAATTGCCGCCATGCCTAGATACTATCCAGCACAAATACCTTTCTAGGTATCTAATGCCCTCTTTGCATGTGCTGACAGCGGCTATGGTTGTAATAGGTTTAGTCGAGCTTTGGGACTATATTTACCTCTCTACTGTATTAAAGTAACATAAGAGGTCTACCGCCAGATAGAGGAAGAGGAACACTAACTCTAATCCACTCAAAACTCTCCAGAGACACAGATACTATGATCGTGTCTGTGAAAGTCTGTGGAATGTTCTCAGTGATAAGATTTTCTCAAAAATGCATAGACTGAACCCCCCGCATTACCCTGATGTCTCTCCACCAGCTATTGCAGGCCAGGCCCATATAAGCGAAGCAAGACACCCAAAGGCAATCAGACACTTCTCGAACAAGTGCTCGAAAGCCTGAGCACTCGAACTGGTTCCAAGCGACTCTACAGTCAAGAAATCGGGCTAATGTCAAGCTTGCACCATGATTATTGGATAGACGAGGAAGCCTTCGTCGTTGCAACTCCGCATCCCACGCTCTACCGCCTGCTATGCTCGACTACGCCAACAGGCTCCTCTGAATGTCTGCAGCGCACAACCGACATGTTTTCAACAGAAGAAGTATAGAGGTTCAGCGATGAGAGCTAATGTTGCTCCATCACGTCAGACTATGTGCCTACTCCTCCTACTGTTTACCGACCTCCGAACTCCGAACAGAACTTGCTTCAAATGATCATCAAGTTCAAATTCCAACGGCTAACTAGATGATGGCCCTCTCCTGATGACCAGAAAATTCAGGCGGGGGCCCTGGGACGGTCTGGGAATTGCCGCCACATATGCAGCCTGGGCAAGGCATGCTTGGAGGAGTTGCTACTGGACGACCAAGTACAAAGACAATGGGACGGCTAATGCGCAGGGAAATAGGCAGGGTACTGGAACCTCGAAATATTTCTTTGGGAAGAATATCTGAAGCGGACGAGCGAGAATCGTTTACGAGTTTGGACAGAGATTTCATGTAACAGACAATGTGCTTTCATCTCACGGGACCTGCCACCGGAAGCCTCTACCATTCAGGGCACCCTCATTCGGAGTCCTTTGGTCGAAGCGGACATAAAAGGCGGGATGACATCTTCGGGACGAACAATATGATACATGCGGCGTCAAAACCAAAATCCTAGACAAGAAAACCTATAAAAGACCTGGCTCGCAGCTCTTGGCACATAAGTAGAAGTCGTCATCGTTCAGGTTGCTTGAACTTTTGTTGCAGTGTTATACAAAACACCAATCGTGGAAGGATCGTCGGCTTATCGGTTGACCCAAAGGGAATGTGTTGTGAGGACATTTACAGGCAGGTAAAAAAGATCGACCGGCAGAAACCCGCAAGACGATCAGTCCACCTTCATACGGAGGATAAAGTTGACCACGACAGCCGCCAGAAGGGACAATGCCAGTACAGTGGGACCGTACCGGTCGTCAATTCCACTCTGCCCACGTCGCCGAATACTCTGCGCCCGCCAGTGAAATGTGAAAAGAGCGTATAACATGGCTGCCATTGCGATGATCGTGAACAATCCGGCGGAGATGCGACCGACGCGGTCGCCAAAGTTGAGCAGGCCAACGGCCAGTCCGCCCAGGATCACCGTGAAGTTGAGCCACGAGAGAAAGGTACGTTCATTGGCAAAGAAGACCTTGGGTTCGACCCGGGTCGGCAGGGCAATTCGCTTGCCTGTATCGACGGGTGATGAGTAAGGACACAGCGATCCAAAATGAGGACGCAATTGCTACCATGACACATACCTGGAGCAGTCTGCAGGAGAGGTTGACTCGACATTATTGGCGAATGTGAAAAATTGGGAATAAAATGGGAGAATTAAGGCGGATGGGAGTGTCAAGAGAGCTACTAAGGACGGATTCGACGAGGAACAATTGATCAATGGTTGACCACACGTAGGTACGTGATCACTGATATCCTGCAGCTTGTATGGTAGAATTTAACTGGAAGGGGAAAAAAATTGGTAAGAGATGAAGACCTCACAGCCCAAAGGAAGCTATAATAATGGTCGCAAGCAGGTAATATATGGGCGCTGGCTGGACTGATGTAACTAAGACAACTAAGAGGCCTGGACTGAGACTAATCAGGAGAAATACCCCTCCTGGTCAAGCGGTCAAATGCTAGCTAAAAGAAGACTAGTGCATGGCGCTGATGGTGCTTCTGCCCAATTCGACCGCCCAAGAGTTGCCACGTGCTCCATCTCTTTGTTGTGCTTTGATTGCCTGAGGCCTCGACATGGAATATCGTTCTGCCGTGTCCTTGTGGCGGTGACGGTTTGAGATAAAGTAGAGGCTAATCTGATTCCGGAATAGCTTGGCGCAACTCATTGTCCAATGATTAACCGCCAAGCCACACCCATGATGCCACAGACTCCGATGTTGTCTCGTCCCCCAAACATCCAAAGCAGAAATCACATCGGCTGTGATCTCCTAACCTTTCACTTCTCCTGTTTCCTGCAGAGCTATCCATATCTGGTTATCTAAATTTCCTGAATATCTGTACCCCACCTGGTAAGCTTAAACTGGACCTGGATCCCGTCAATTGATTTGTTTGACTAGCTCCGAACAGCGGTCTCATTCCCCCCGCAATCGCGCCTCCAGCATGCGTGGTTACGCCGCATTCCCTCGACCTGCACGCCAGTTTATAGACTTTGAAGCGATATACCTGCTGACTATAGCGCTTTAGCTCACGTATCACGATTGCGAACGCCTTCTACAAGATACCTCATATACAATGGCTGTCGAAAAGGGACCTGTTTCTGTGCGTGACCGACCCTATCTATCTTAGCAGCCTCATCTGCGACGCCGCGCATCGAAATTTGCCTTCGTTCAGATATCAAACTTTTTTCCGCGGATACTGACTGCCTTTTTCTCCATCTTTTAGCCCATACCCATTCCGGAGCTCACCAAGATCGCCACAGATGTACGTTGATTGCCTGTTCCACTCCGTCAATAGTAGCCATTGTGATCGACTTGCATACCTTACATTAGCGAAGATCTGAATTTGGGCATTATACTTGTACTGACAGGTCGATCCAAGGCTTGTGATGCGGCCCTGAAGAGCGCCGAGGGTTACGAGCACGCCAAGGTCGGCGAATGGAACTCCCAGATCATTGTGAGTATATCAACCTGCGGCAAATGATATGCGCTCAGGCACGTTGACTACCAAGAGCATGTCTGATTTATAATCTTTTGATTCGATAGAACACTATCCTCAAGGCCCTCATTGCAGCTACCGCACCAGAGACACCCGCGACATCACCTCCATACCGCTTCACCGTCAACAGCACCATTGTGCAACAAGGCTTGATCGATAAGTCTTCCGCAGCGGACGGTGCGGTCGGCAATGCTGGCAAGCGTGGTATGCACTCTGCCTCGGGCGCCTTCTGGGACGTCAACCGCGATGGAATGTGGACATTCAAGTATCCCGGGGCTGAAGAGCGGGGCCTCGATGTCGTCGTCAGTGTGACATGGTTTGCTCTGGGCTAGTCTCATTCAGATCAAGAAATTTATAAAGTGAAAGAAAGGAAGACGCCAATTTTGTTTGAAGCTTTTGAAAGTTCAACGTTCCGTTCTGATGTGACTTCCATTTCATCTTCATTTCTTCTACGACTCTGCGGTTGTTTTCGCATGCCTTCACCTGTTATATGTTCTCAGAGGCTTGATGTACAGGAACAATGTTGATTACGATATCCCTTAGTTCAAGAATTGCCGCAATTTGTATCAGCACTTCAGGTCCCGAGACCTATAGATGTTAACTCTCCAGCACACTAGGGTGGAAGAGGTCTCGGGAGACAAGCAAAGAGGTTAAAAAAGGTTGCACCAACGAATGCTTTCATCCAATCGAGTCATCAAATTCAATGCCACTACTTAAAAACCGCCCAATTTCATGAACAGACAGTGAAGGAGTCCGAAGAAAAATCATTAGAATGGATAAGCTAAGGGGACAACCGAAACACCGTATCAAGCGGTAGTAAAGCTTCCTTCTCCCGAGACCAGACGCCATGCTAACCAAGGAACAATTGAATCAATCGAGACAAAGGAAAGAACAGATCATGATATGGACATGTAGTATGACACGCGAAAATCCCGGAATTTCACTGGGCTACTCTATCCCACCTCAACGGGGTTCTGAATAGTCGTTCAATGCGACACATACCGCTCCGCGGTGATGCCCGCTGTATTGACGAATGATTTGACCCGAAGCCAGCTCCCACAGACGCGCATAATGATCACTCGAAACGGTGACAAGATAGGCGGAATCTGCAGAGAACGCGCAATCCCACACCCAGCGTTGATGATTGGCTAACGTGGTCTCTAGAAACGGCGTCCCGGTAGTCATATCCATGGGTGGTCCATCCGGTTGCACCGGGAAAGTCTGCTGCGGCTCCGGATTTGCAGGAGCATTTCCTCTGATGTAGGTAATCGGGTTCAACTCCCCGGTTCTTCCCAGGTCAGCGCCAACGTGAAGGTCCTGGACTTTGGGCGATGTCGGGGACGCAACGGGATCTTTCGCTACAGACTCTTTGGCTTCCGATGCAGGCGACTCATTGCCGTTGGCTTTGGCCTTGGCTGCTGTTATCGCTGCCATCTTAGCAGGGGGAAAATCAGGATCGAGATTCCAGACCTTAGCGGTATGGTCGGCGGAGCAAGTTGCCAAATGCTTGACGTCGGGAGAAAGAAGAACCCGTGTGAGATAGTCTTTGTGAGCTTGGAAGGTGCAGATTGGGACAATACGAGTCAATTCGGCGTCCTGGATCATGCGCCAGATGTAGACATTGCCCTAGAACCAAGTGCTCATTAGCTAACGACGCTAGAAAATACCAAGTTCAGGCGTTACCTTTTTATTCCCTGCACAGAGGAGAGAGCCATCGCTTGCGACACTAACGCTCTGTACAGCAACGTCCTCCTCGGGAATGAGCTGGTGGGTGCAGACGCTCTCCCCCAGATCCCAAACCCTGACGATACCCGCCCGGTCACCACTAATTAGCTCACCCTGATTTGGGTGGATCACCACGTCATTGACTGGAGATTTGTGTGCATAATTGCGCTGCAAGCTTCCAGTACGAGTGTCCCATACTTTCACCGTCCCGTCCTCAGAGCTGGTAACCATCCACTTCCCCTCACAATGGAATGCGACACCCGTGATGTTGTTCGTGTGACCGTCAAATGTCATGACTGGATTCGGATTGGTTGACTTGATATCATAGAGCTTGACATTGTTGTGTCCCGCGGCCGCTAGGTAGCGCTTGTCGGGAGTGATGCAGAGGCGATTGACTTGAGAGTCAGGATGCTGGATTGTCCGCGAACATATTCCTGAGAGGGCCTCCCAAAATCTATTCCGGACAAATCAGCGCACAATTCCCTAAAGAATCAGGCAGCACCGGAAAGCATCCGCTTCGCCTACCGAATTGTATGATCATAGCCCGCTACGACATCCCACAACAACTACGTCAGTCATGCAGCTCTGACAGAGTGTGAGATTGCGAAATCTTCCCAAGCCCTACTTACCAGTACAAAGAATGACACTCATTATGAGTAATTACAGCAATATAGGACTCAAAAATCTTCGAGGATGCTGGATGATTGAGAGCCCTCGTTGGGTGGTTGCGGGTGAGGGGAGAAGTGAAGTATTTGGTATGTTGGAGAGGTACTCTTCCTGCCGGCCTTTAACCCCCGATTGCAATCCTGATTGGGGTTAGTGCAACAACTCATGGGGAGGGCGCGTGAGCGGTTGTGTAGGCGGTGAACAAGGCGGAATGCCATTAACAGATCCGAAAAAAGCAGTTGTTGTTTTGTTCCAGCTTCACTTTGACGATATTGTCATATATCCCTTCAGGTCCCTTCATCCTATTGAAGGACTGCGGACTCTATTACCTTGCTTCTGCGCATACCGGACTCTGCTTGCCCTGGTTGCCATTTATTACCCGCCTAAAATGACCCCTGGCTCTCCTTGCTTGCTTGTCCAAGTCTGATTTTGTTGACTCGACTCCATCGAACTCGAACTCGCCTGATCGTTCCATCCCAAGGATTCCTTATTTTTATCGTTCTCTACTACCAGGACCTTGCATATCTGCTACATGGTCCTTACCTGTCAGCTGTTCTTTGATTGAGCAGTGCCCTCTGGCATAGTCATCCGTGTTTAGCTGTGGCAGAACAAGAGTGGCACAAGCGGCTGAACACCACAGAGTACAGCTACTCGGCGTGAGCATACGCATCTGCTCTCTGTTCAACTGTAGCCTTCATCAGTTCTTATGTGGTACGGTGTTCTTTGTGCTTTTCTGTTCATTTTGCTTTGCTCGCCACATCACTTACGCCTCGGCGACGTCAGTGCCTCGCAACTTCAATATCCGCCGCATGAAACCAGTGGATAAGTTTTGAGCTACCGCTCCAGCAGCTCATACCTGTGGTATTTTGTGCTACCCTGGTTATGACTTCCGGTTGTCTTGGGCTTTCTGAGGTCGAGATGGAAGGAAGCGTGGTTGAAGGTATTTCTACCTCTCTCCCGACCTGCCCTCTATTTTCGCAACCATATGACCCTCAGAGCCTTTTTGCTCCTGAGGATCTACCAACTCCCCCATCTTATCGTGATATGCATGTGAATGATCTGGGGCTTACACCTCCCCCTGGGTCGCAGCTGCTACAACCTACCAATGTCACTCGACCGCACCCCTTGCTTGACGAGCACGGCTCATCCGACGAAGATGTGAGGATATCTGTGGCCGGTCAGCCCGCAGGGTCGAACCACAATGATCAGACGAGAGGCCCACGCAAGGGCACACCCGACGACCCGTCTCTGTTGAGACAGGCGAGTTCATCGAATAACGAAGTTGGGCCACCTTTTCCTGGTAGTCAAGCCGCCAGTCCAGTCGGATCGATGGAGGTTGCCACAAATGCCACATCGCGGACCAGACTTCCACAGCCCTTGAGCTCGAACATTACGCCAAATGCAGATGATCTGCTCTACGATCCTCTCTTTGGTCCCGACTTTGTGATGCCCAATTTCGACGCGAATTCCTCGTCTTTGAAACGGACCGCCGACGAAGCCTTGGCTGATGATTTCCACTTGTGGCACAGGCCTGAGAAACGACTGATGCCGGATTCACTACAAAGCTCCAGTGCGCCTTCTCTGGATGCAACACCGTCTCTTTCCTCGCCCGACACTATTCAGTTAGATCATTTTGAAACAGTGCCCAATACACCAGGTGGTATTGCAGAGTCGCAAATACCCGCGCCTCCTTTTGACCCTTTTGATCCTCTATTTGAAGATCCTGCCTTCTACATTCCACCGAACCCATCTGGGATTGAGTATTCCTCTGAGGAGAGACCAACACTTCACTCTGCAAACGCGGAGTCTCCGTATGATGCGTCTCGTCGTCCGAGCTTGAATTCTCGTGGCAATGTCCAGGTGCAAGCTGCTGACAAGGTGACTTTCGATCATGACGCTGTGGGCGTATCACTTCCCACAAGTGAATTGACCAAGCGACAGTTCTCTCTCGATACCCAAGATGTTCTTGCCAATGCCGACCGTGAGACTCTGCAGCGAGTTGATCATGAACCTAAATACACATCACCATATCCAGTGTATCATGGACCTTTGGGCTATCTTCCCTCAGCTCCAGGTATTCACGTCAAGTGCATTCAGATCTCCAATGACCAGATCAACGCGCGCTTTTCGCATCTCAAATACAAAGTTCAACATTTCAAATACGAAAGAGACAAATACAGGGATGCGTGGTCTAAATGGACAGCACTGGAAGCATCAACAGGGAAGTCAAGGGCACAGATACTCGAGGAGGAAAACGCGACGCTGCGACGCGTGTCCACCCAACACCAAAGAAGAGCGGAGCAGTACAAGCAAGAAATAGAGGTCTGGAAAGGCAGACTACATGATCTCAGTGTTGTATACAACAACCTCCTGTATGAGATCCAGGTTCAGAAGAGAATGCCTGCCGTGGCTCCCATTCCGCGCGGGTACCGACCCCAATATGCACCACAGGCTGCAACGCATCCGCAATCTGTTGCACCCGGTCAGCAGCTTGCGAGCTCTCCTGCCTTGCCTCTTTCAGAGCATCCCATGCCAGGTCCTGCCTCTCCGCGAAACCATGGCCCTGTACCTGCTCAACAACTCGCTATGCCAGCTTTCCATGCGCCCAGCACTCCTTATACCCCCCTATCTCATCAAAATCCGCCTCACAGCAATTCGCAGCCTAGTGGCATCACAACAGGATCAGTGCAACATCCCGCTCCGGCAGAGCCACAGCCAGAAACGGTGACTATTGATCTTACTGACGAAGCGCCCAACATCACACCCAATCCAGCTTCGATTGCTCCATCGAAGCCAACGCAGGAAACCGGTGAGCTTCTTCAATCATTGCAGAAGAAGAAGTACAACTGGCTCGAAAGAGCATCAGGTTCCGCACAGCCTGCGGTAGCTCGAGCAGGACCTCGACCTCCGCTGCGCTCAGAATCCGTGCCTCGGGCCTCTC